AATCTCAAAAAATAAATTTTTAAATATAAATTCCTTATTGAATCACTTAAGAAACTATACCAGAAAAAAATCATATAAAACCAAGAGCAGAAAAAGAAATAAAATTATTCAGTTGAATCTTAAACCTAAGCCGCAGCAGCTCGTGTCATTGTGGCTTAGCGCGCTAATAGCGCCGAGTTTCTAATCGCATGAGTTATGCCAAAGCAATCGAATTCGATTTATCATCGAGAGCTACTGAGCTGCCAGCCAGAGTCAGAGTCAGAGTCAGAGTCGGAGAGAGAGCCTGAGCCTAGGGGGCTACAGAGCAAAGCGTTTGCTTTGGCATCGAGTGAACGGAATGAGTGAACGAGCGAACAACAACAACAATTAGGATTGTTGAGTGCGTGGCACATTGCGTATACGTGATTTATGTGCTTGTGCGTTGGCTGCGGTTATTTTTGGCAGCATTTCAATGGGAGGCAGGTGGATGGGGCAAGTGGGGGTAGGCAGTTGGAGTGTGGAGAGGTGGGAGTGGGGCAAGGCAGAGCTTAAGTTAAATTCAATTATTGTTGCGCTTGCTGTTGCTTTTCAGTTTTCCGTTTGCCGTTTTCCATTTTCCGTTTTCAGTTTTCAGTTTGTTTTCAAATATGAAATAATTGCCATAATTGATTTATGCATTGAACGTGCTGCATGCGAGCTGCATTATGCTCGCCTGCATCTTGCACCATTTTGTTGCACTTTGTGGCACTTTGGCCAATCAAGTGGCAGCCCAAATATTTACTTTGTGTTTGCCTCAGGGCAGCAGGAGCAGCAGCAGGAGCAACAACTGCCACTGAACCAAATAAAATCCAACTAAAGTCATGCTAAAGTCCCAGCTCCAAGTGCCTTCAGATATGCAAATACAGCAGATAGAATGCGCCAGGACACGCCAGGATACGGCAGGACGCACTGCATTTGATGGCCACACAGGGAGCACAAATGGAATTTCGGTGCGTCCAATGGAGCTGGGAATCGCCAGCTAACAGCACACGACATTCGCTTGGCTCACACCTCACGAGCGGCCACTAATGGAGTGTGCCTGACTGGCAAATACCCTGGCAGGAGTTGTATTGTCGTAGCTAGATACATAACCAACTTTATACGATTTGCATATTTTTTGCTGCAATTGTGAAATTTGTATTTGCATTTTTTTTTTTTTTGTAAATAAAATTTAAGTGTGAATCTATGGATAGTTGAATAGAGCCTAATCCATACGCCCAAATTGTTTACAGGGCATTAGAGCAGAGACAAAAATGCAAATAGAGTACACAATAAAAAATATGTACATACATACATGTATAAACATAAATATATATATATGTATGTATATGCATGTATATATTCATGCAGATTTAACATTTAGTTTTCGACAAAAGAGTAAATTTTGCTGACAAACCAAAGTGCAGCCATGCAACATTCGATAAGGTAGAAAGAGAGAGCGAGAGAGGGAGAGAAAGAGAGAGACAATTTTGATGCTAGCTTAAGCTAAAATAGCTCAATAAAATAGAATAACAATTCGAGTAAATATTTTCGCTCGATTTTGGCAATTAAATATAAAAAACATTTAAAGCCAGAAGATAAAAAATGTTTATTTTCATTTGCTTCTAATGTTTATTTTTGTGTTTAATTGAAAAATAAAAATAGCTTTCTTATTTAACGCAATCTATGTTTAGATTTGTTCGAATGTGGA